AGTCGCTCTACAGAATCGTGCGGTGTGCCCCTTTTTGTTACAGTTATTGCAGTGTAACTCTCGACAAGCACCGTTATGGTGGTAGTTACACTTGTTGCACTTGGGAAGAGTTCCTGTATACTGTTTCGGTGGCGCTGGAGCGACAGCAGTAGTGGCGGCACGAACAGCAACAATCTGTTGCTTTTTGGCGGGGTCCTGAATTGGTTGTTTCTTTTTATTGCCCCAGAACTTCCTCTTGTTGTTCCCTCCTTTTGTTCGGTCGGTGGTGGTTATCACGGTACCACGGCTAGCCCTGTGATCTATGAGTTGTTGTGCCAATTCCTTGGCACTCTCAAAGGTAGTGGGTTTCGAGGCCAATACACTATCTTGAATCTGGGATGACAGCCCCCAGAGATATCGTTCCACCTTCTTCTCTTCTGGAGTGACCATTGTTGGACAGAGGAGTGCTAGGTCATTGAAACGGGCAGTATAAGTTTCAAGATCAGTGCCTGTCATTCTGAGGTTCCAAAGTTCTTCTTCAAGTTTTTGTATTTCGCCCCTCGGGCAGTATTCCTTTAACATTAGGGCTTTCAAATCCTCCCAGCTGATTGCGTTAGCTACTGCGGGAGTAAGTGATTTAACTCGGCCATTCCACCAAGTAAGTGCTTTTCCAGTGAAAGTGAATGCCGCATACTTGACCTTGCTCGCTTCGGGACAAGCGCAGATTTCAAAAACTGCCTCGGTCCTTTCGAACCATTGCACCACGTGATAACGCCCCCGCTTCCATTGAAAGGGTCGGGTTTGCCATTCGTGAAGTCTTTGTAAGAGCACTCCCTCGTACGCCCCGTGCTGTCCCCATGAATGGAATTGGTAGCTCCGGATCCAGAACCGCCAGAACCATTGGTTCCCATTTGCGACATTGCTGCCGCCACGGCTGCCGTTACTGCAGCCTGGAACATTGCAGGATCAAACTGCGGAGGTGGTGGTGGAGGCGGCACTGTGTTGTTGGAAGGCCTTGGTCTTTTCCTTGGTGGCATGGTTCTGTCATAAAAAAAATGACCAGTCGGTAAGACTTCAATAGTGATAACGAGTCGAGTGTTACTGGTTTCATCCCTCTTGTATTTTATCAAAACTTTATTATTCGTAAACTGTTTGTGTGATCAGGTTATGATGTATAGTGCCAAACATTCAATAAATAAAACACATGCCAAATTTCATTGATAACTTTTAGTACATAACGTTTAGAGGGAAAAGTTTGACCTCATAAGGGTCTACATTACATCGTTACAAAAGATAGTTTTGGCATTACAAAACCCTTTGAATAGTGTAATCACATAGTCGCAGGGTCGACCTACATACAAAGAGTAGCACCAACGCGTACTCATAAAATTTTACTACCAAGACGTGAGAATAGTAACGAGTTCTAATCACTGCGACCCTTCTTTGACGGAGGCTGCGATGATGTCGATGCGCCCTGTAGTTCCGCCAATCTGCGTTCGGCTGCAACCATTCTCTCTTCGAGTGCCATGTATCTTTCCCGATACTCTCTTGTTTCTGCTTGAGCTGCGAGAAGGTCTTGAATGAGTTGGTCTCTGTGGTGGGAGTCTCGTTCCAGGTCTCTGGTGCGATCAGTAGTAGACTGTACGATGGCACTTAACTCCCGGACCTGATCGGTCGTCGTCCTACCACGATCATCCATACTTGCTATTCGTTGTATCGTGACGGGGAGAGCTCTGTCAGCCGGTCCACCATGAGTGAGATCATAGTAACCTCGTTGGTAGCCATATGGTGACCGCTGGCGTTGTTGTCGGCTCCATCTTTCGATCGTTGTTACCCAAGGGGGTTCAGGTCCGTTGTATCCAAAACGGTGCGCGGGTACCCTGCGATGTAGGGAGGGTTGAATACTTCTGGTGGTTCCTCTGCTTCGTTCCCAAACATGACTATCTCATCACCTTCCTCTTCTTCCTCTTCGTCTTCCTCTTCTTCTTGGTCGTCTTCCTCTTCTTCTTCTTGTTCGTCTTCCCCCTCGGGATCCTCTTCGGGATCCTCCTCGGGATCTTCCTCAGGATCCTCCTCGGGCTTATCTTCGATCCATCCCGCGTTTCCCTGATTGGGAAAATAGGGGTCCCCGGGTATGTGAAATCCTGCCATGTCGTCTGCACGAGAAACGGGGTTAAGAAGCACATATCGGAAAATAATAATCTGGCACTATAGAAACGTACAAATACTCCTATAGTATTTTTAAATGTTTATATTTGGTTCTTAGCGTGTTCTTTATGGAGTGTAATTAGGTTATCAGATTTGTCGCTCATTACGACTATTCCTTAGTGTGCGTAAGTTACTTCTTGGACGGATATAGTTGATCAGGCTATATCCCTCCCAGAACTGATTACACATGCTAAGGCGTACTAATAATGTTCGACTCCTCCTCTTTCAATTTATGTTCTCCTAAGATATGACACCATGCTAGTATAGAATGCATGTAAGTATACTTTAAAACAAGAAATTATTTGTTTTCTAAAAGTACAACTCGTTAAAGCATTTTAAGAATCAGAGACCTTAGTCCCAAATGTGTTTATAGTTTGTATATCTTATGTGGTTTGACATACTTAATTCACTATAAACCGTGCTCTGATACCAATCTGTCACACCCCCAAACCAAGGATGGCGGAAACGTCCGGGGGTGGAGGACTTCATGTATAGTATCATAACCACAATTTCAATAGTAATTTAAGCAAACACAACCAACATATATATAATTGAAAAAGTTACATCACTTGTATGAATTACATGTTTCAAAATCAATTACAATATGTTGACAAAATATGAAAAGTTTGACGCCTTAACGTCCCATCCTCAAAAGCACTTGATTACCTGTTTAGTGTTTTCCTGAGAATACAAGTTGTTTGAAAAGTGTCAACACAAAGGTTGGTGAGTTCATAAGCTTTTATTAATAAACTTAGTAGAAGTCTTTCACATGTAAATGTCGCGTTTGTTTCAGAAAAATCCGATATTTTCCTTGAAATCCGTAAAATGTAGCCTTATAACCAAAGACCAAAATGTATAAGAAATCATCATTACTTAGTAGAAATGTCGTGAGTTTAAAATGATATGGAAAGTAAATTTTTAATCAACCTAAAACCTACTTCGGTTTTATGAAATCCCGTAAACTTTATGAATTGTTACTCCCTAGGTGAGTCGCTATAATCATACTGTGACTATGTGAACCTGCCACAACGTTTCTCAGGCGTCGCGAAAATGAAATGACATTTGTCACCCGTAGACCTGCAGGTCCCACTGTAGCTAGCAGCAAGGTGTGGGGTGTCAAACCCAATATAGATCTATATACAAGTATCACGTTCTCCCTCAAGGAGATTCTGATTATAACTACCAGGAATTATATCCCGCACTCGGACGTACGGGGAGAGAGAGAGTCTCACAACATAGGTTAACAAGTTTACGTGAATGTGTGTGGATATAAATCTTTCTTGTATGAATGTACCCTTTTTGTACGAGTGTGTTGAGTGATGTATCATAAACTATACCTATTATAGTTTATCTAAAATGTATGTAATATGTATGAATTCGTTTATGGAAATGTATTAGTGTTGTGAATTTATCAAACTATACTTTTTATAGTTACATAATACGTGTTCTAAAATGAATGAATAATATTTAATATGAATGACTTAGTTTCAGTTCATAATGATAAACTAACAAGGAAACACATTCAAATATTAGAACTTATGATTATACACTCTGCTCAACATAATACAAAGTGTTATGATATTTACATGCTGTTGGCTAACTTTAGCCATTCTGCCCTGTTTTGGAAAAATCATAGAAAAATCATACGAAGTCGAAAACTAGATCCGTAAATTCTGAGAGTTCACAAAATGTGTCTAGTTTACTATAATTTTTTTCACGATTTTTAATGACCTCCAACTTGGGTGAAAAAGTCCATAATCACAGACTGGTCCGGATTGTTGTTTGAAATGATAGGCAGTTTTGTAAAAATCACCATAAATTGTAGAAAAATCGTATGGAGATGTGCAAGTAGTCATTTTAAAGCTACAAACTTGACACTACTAGAAAAAAGGCCTTTTACGACGCTCATTGCGCGTCGTAAAACGCTCAGACGACGTGCAAATGCGTGTCAAGGAAGGCCCTGTCATAAAGAGAGACGATGCGCTTTTGTGCGTCGTCTATAGACGACGCGCATTTACGACGCACATTTATGACGCGCATTTACGACGCGCGGTTATGACACGCAATGCGTATCAAGGAAGGCCCTGTCATAAAGGAAGACGGCACGCATTTGCGTGTCGTAACCTTACGACGCGCGTGTTTATGACACGCAATGCGTATCAAGGAAGCCCCTGTCAAGAAAGGCCATGTCATAAATAAAGATGACACACATTTTTGCGTATCATAATTTTAAATGTTTAAAAAAATATTATTTATAGATTTACTAATTTTTCATATTAAATAATACATTAGAAATCTCATAATAATAAATAAAATACCATAAATAACAAAGATAATTCATTTCACTAATATGTCAAATACAAATAATTATTCCAATAGTGAGTAAATGTTATAAAAAAATGAACTCATTTATATACAATTGCATTATCTAGCTTACTATGTGCCAACAACTTCTATCTTTTTCCTTCTCTGCATAAACTTCATTAGCAGCATCCTAAAGAACTTCTATCTTTTTCATCAGCAACATCCTCAAAAACTTCTATCTTTTTCCTTCTCTGCATAAACTTCTATCTCACACTCAATGTAGTTTTAAACATCAGGTTTAAAAAATCAACTTTAAGGTTGCCTTGTTAAAGAGAATGACTAGAATAGATTTCCCTTTTTCACAAGGCATGTGCTTGCTTGCACATATATATGGAATCATTCTAACAAAAAAAAATTGTTCATGTCAACTACTCCAAGGACTATTACGTAATTTAACATGAAGAATTTTGTCCAGATGAAAGGATTGACTTTAAACTTATAAAAATCATTTAACAGAACTTACCTGACCATGAAGCGTGTTGATCCAGATCTCCTTGCCTTCCTGCTCTGCCACGAAGCTTTGTAAAGCAAGAAATAAATTAAAAAAGTGAGTCTGAAAGTATATGCTAAATTTATGTAAAACCTTAAAACACAATATTGATGCAAAGTTACCTGATTATCAATTCTTCGGGACTCATGCAAAGATGTCCCAATGACATGGAGACCACCAAGTCGTTTGACTTCCAATCCTTCATGAAAGCAATGAATCTCACAGTCCTTTAGAACCGATAAATAGGCAATTGCAATGCAAGGACCAAGAGGGTACATCTCTGCCTGTTCTTCCACAAGCCTTTGCAGTTCATCTAAACCCATTGACTGGCTCATTTCAACTGACTCTGAAATTATAGATTTTGCCTTCTCATATGTCCAACTCTTGTTCTCACTTTTGCCCACGTATTTAGCTGCGTTATTTACCCAAAACCATATACCATTCACATTAACGTTAGGGCCAAATGAAAGAATAGCTACCTATTTCTAATTACCAGCATCCTACTCTCAGTACAACATCCTAAAAAGAAAAAAAATGAAAGTATACAGCTATAACCATAAGTGGTATAGTTTTCAAAGTACAGTGCCTTATGAAAGATATCTTTTTTAAAGAGTATGCTAGTATGGTAGAAAGCAATGAAAGTAGGATGCTATAACACACAAATAGATGAAAACAAGTAGTTATTGTTGCTTGTTATATTTTTAGCCCATATAGAAAGTGAATACTTACTTCAGTTTTTGCAGTTCCTGTCATCCCTGAAAGCTTTGGATAAAGCTTAAACATTGATTGGTATGTGATTTGTGCCACTACAACTGAATCAGCCTGCAAAGCCCAAGAGGAATACAAGGTAATAGCTTTAAACAAGAGTTGTCAAAAAGAATGATGATGTGGCAGGAAATCGCAATATATACCTGGATTGGTAACCCTTCTTTTGCCTCCACAGCCAGGTGAATCCCCTCTGACCATCGTCTTTTTTTTCCACTCTCCCCGCCAACTTCAAATGAACATTAATTTACAGCAATATAACTAGGTTTTTCTCCTAAAATAAAAATACGATGTTTGTAATACCTCGTTTATTATAAGAGCTTTCCCATTTTTAACAATGTACTGGACATCTTGGCGATAGAACTCCCATTTTTAACAATCTGCAGCTCCTCCAGCCATTGTGCCCAACATATACAGATTAATTTCAATGATTTTTTTTCACAGATTGAGATGCTGCAAAAAAAAAAAAAAAAAAAACAAAACAAAATTAAACGAGTGTTTTTGAAGACTATTTAATGCTTTCAAATCATGTTGCTTTCGATTCATAATTAATTATTAATCAAGTAAAGATATATTATAATTTAGAAGGAGAAATGGATACATATATAGCCTCCCATGCTAGCTCGGGAATCTGCAGCAACCATCACACCTTCCTTAAAAATAAAAGCCAAAGTTGTTGTTCCTTTTGCTGGTTTTACCATTTGGATAGAATTCTTCTGAAATCCATCAAACTGAAGCAAAGGATTTGATGTAGTGTTTTAGCAATATATACATTCACTTAATATCTAGCAGAAAGGAAAAGAGAAAAAGGCAAGAATTGTAAAGAAACTCACATCTGATGTAACTGGTAGGTCAAATGAAGGGGCATCAGAAAGCAGGTCGTCACTTCCTCCATAGAGTGGTGAACTTGTGCAGTTTAATCAGATGCAAAATAAATCGCATACGATAATAATTACCTTTGATGAGCTGTAATACATCTTATACTCCAAACCATTCACCACATGTACGCCTTCCATGACAGCTGATATAGCAGAAGATTCATCAATACCTGAGAATTGGCATTTATTTCTGCATGTAATTAGGAAACAAATTAAATATGAACATAAATAGATACTTATTTACTCAATGTCATAAGAAGTATTAATATTTATTAGTTATTACCTCTGCAACATAATACCAAAATCCTTTTTTCCAGGCACAACAGAAAGAAAACCATTGTGAAGATAAGTTGAAAAATTATGATCCACAGAAACCGCAACCACATCAGTCTTTGCATTCCCAACATCCATCAGTTGAATGGTTAAACAACATGGGCCAGATGACTGCAAAAAAATAAGGAAAAATAAATAAATAAACCAGAGTTCTTACAGGATACAGAGACTGCTACATATGATTATACAGTAATAATTTATGTTTATTGTTATTGCTATTGTTACTCTACCTTCACTGTTTTTGTTTTTGTTAATGTTATTATTCCTGTTACCTAAGTGTTAATGTTATTGTTTGACTGCTTTCTGCAACCATAGTTATCAGATTTGTGAGCAAAAATAAAGATAAATAAGCTTACCTACCATTAAGCCAGGATAAGAGTTTAGGGCATCAATGGAAGATGTCTCCTGGATTTTATTACCTCCTGGACACACGCCATAAATTTTCAATAACTTGGAATTGTTCAAGTAATATTATATAATCCCAAAAAAATACAATTAACTACCAATAAGTAGGCAATGCAAATTTTGGAAAGGCATATCAGGTTCATCTGTAGCTGAGGGGTACCAAATACGCTCTATGTTATTCTTATTTAATTGAAGTTGCTCCAAACTGAATACAATTTCAAGTAAAGGATAAAGCTTTCACAAAATAGTATAATATTAACCTTGAGTAAGTCATTGTTTAGGGTTAAAAGCGAATCCAGAGTGCCAACACGAAGATTTGGGATATTAAACTGCAAAACTACTCAAATTTAATAAGATACTTAGTAAAATTGAACGAAATTGATAGCGATGATTGTTATACCCTATAAAGAGGAGTGTCAAATGAGTTTTTGGAGATGGATTCTTGTAAGCGACTCCACAAAGAAGAAGCAGAACTCTGAACGGGAAGAGAAGTCTTCGTGTTAGGGGGAAAATTAACGAGATTCCCAATTGCTGCTCAAAATTCTTAAGATCGACAACGGAGATTCCCGATTGTTAAATTGAATTATGGTTTGCAACAGAGAATCAAAAGGGGGAAAATTAATGAAATCTATCCTCCAAATAGAAATCGACGAATTCATGAGATAGATTGATTTCATTTTGAAAACATCCATGATTTCGTTTTGAAAACATCCATGAAGTCAAATTTAGAAGCAGTAATAAGCGATTCAGATTCGCTTTCTATTCAAACATGTTCAATTTTTTTGTAGGATACGGTCCCAATTTTTACATAGGAACCACCAAATCCTTCAAAACTAGAAAAAAAAGTATGTGAAGAAACGAACAATAAATTGATTACCTGGATCTCTGACACAAAAGTTTCAAAGGTGATGACAATCGAGAAGCTAATGGAGCAAAGTTATGGTTCTTCGTCTGTGTGTTTTTCTAGTTATCTATGGGGAATCAAAAACAAACGAGAATCAAGATTTGAATTCCTAATATTGAGACTTGAGACTATAATATTGAATTAGGGCTTTTTCTGAAAATTTCAACATCGAGTGGAAGATATGGTGGTTCCAGTGGGTAGAAGTAAGTGAGCCTTGATCGATGTCAACGATTGGGGAAGTAGTTAGCGGTCGATGTGGGAAGGGGAAAGAAGTATTGCCGATTAGGGTAAAGAGAGAAGTGAAAGCGGGCTAAGGTAAAGAGGGAAGTGAAAGCGGGCTTTTCTAATTTTTGGGTTTTTCTTTTTCCCGCTTATTACTAAAGAGCGCGTTTCATTAAAAAATTTAAAGCGACATGTTTAGATGACGCATGTTTTATAATTAGTGCCCTCCGTGTTTTTTTTCTAACACTTATTCTAGGGCACGCAAAATTGTGCGTTCTAAATCCTTAAAATTTCTAGAGAGCTGACATTATTTTAGGTCACATGCTTTTGCGTATCATAAATCACCGCGTGTCATAAATTGCACGTCATTAAAGGTCTATTTTCTAGTAGTGTGAACTATTTGCACCTTGTACAGTTTTGAAAACAAAAATGTTTAAGATGCCCAAAACAGTCCGTGAATGGAGTTGAACTTTTCTGATGAAGGCTGTTAGAAATATTTAGTTATGTTCTTGATGTTTTAACTTGTATTCCCCCCCCCCCCCCCTGAAAACTTGAGAAAACATGAAAATGTAGGGGTATGAACTCACCTTAAGTGATTTCAGTAGATGATTGTTGAAGAATGGAAGTGTTTAATTCAAGAACACTTGGAGATGCCTTGAAGGTTTTCGAGAATCTAACATTATAGTTATGAAGTTTGTGTAAGCAA